CTCTGAAGCCGGGGGTTATTCGCCGGGACAATGACACAAATAGTCTTTGAACTTTCGCTCAATATGCAATTTGATTCCTGAATTTTTAATTTGTTTAACGTATTCCCTAAACTTTAGCCTAATATTCAATGTGGTCCCTAAACTTTTAATTTGTTTAATGTGGTCTCTTCACTTTTGATATATGATCAATTTAGTCCCTGAACTATATGAAAATGTTCAATGTTATTCATGAATTTGAATATCGAACATGTGCTAAAAGTTCAGGGACGGCATTGCATAAATTAAAAGTTCATGAACCACATTGAATATTAAACTAAAGTTCAAGGACTACTTTGAATAAATTAAAAGTTCATGGATCAAATTGCACATTAAACTAAAGTTCATGAATCGTTTGTGCCATTTTTCCTTATCTGTTCAAAGTGATAAAGCTCTTGGGTATTTCGAGAAACGAGTGCCGCTTCGAACGGGAATTCGGAATTTCTCGCCGCTGTCGAGGAATATGGCGACGAGAAAATGTTCGGACCCGATCAAAAGACCAGAGCTTCAGCACGACAACCCTTGACTTTGTGGGACCCGCGTGTGGGACCCGCAACACTAACGGGGTTGCGGCCCCCGCCGGCCCCATGGCCGGAAAAGGATTTCCGGCGCAAACGAGCGGAGGAGGCGAGGCCACGTCACGCCGTCTCGAATTAAAGGGACGTCTCAGTCCCGCGCAGGGAATCCAAAGCCCCGATCGACCCGGGATTTTCATTATGTACGGATAACAGATTGGACGGAAAAAACAGGAACGGAGTCCCCACCAGTCGCCGCCGCCGTCGCCGTCGCCGTCGTCGTCATCCAGGGAGAGAGGGGGGGGGGCAATGGAGAAGATGATGCAGGTGCCGTACGAGGCGACGGTGAAGATGATGCTCGCCTCCCTCGAGCGCAACCTCCTGCCCGACGCCGTCATCCGGCGGCTCACCCGCCTGCTCCTGGCCGGCCGCCTCCGCTCCGGCTACCGCCCTTCCGCCGACCAGCAGCTCTCCGACCTCCTCCACTTCGCGCACTGTACTCTCTCTCTCTCTCTCTCTCCCTCTCTATCGCCACTCACGTCGGCTCGATTCGTGATTCTTGTACGAAACGATTGAGCTCGATATAAGATGATTGAACTCGATTGATGATGGATGAGACGGTTCGATGAGCGGTTTATAGTTTTTTTTTTCAACAGAGCTTTAGCTCGTGCTGTTCCTGCGCGTTCTTCGAATTTCAGCCTCAACTTGTTCGCTGATGGTCAAGTTTCAAGTTTTTTCTCGTTTGGCCGCTTGCTGTCGTTTCAACTCCGCAATTTGTAAAACTGATAATGAAATTCGTGTCATAGCGGGATAGATGAGAGGGAGCACAAGAAGAATGAAAGGGGGAATTTTTTTTTTATTGATAATCTCATCTTGTACATGATCTCTTCTGTGGAAGAGATGATGCACTTTGAGCTTTACATTGGTTGGAACTGCTGTATGCTGCTTCGTGTGTTTGATAGTATGGGGTAAGTTTGATGAATTGCTCCGTTCATATCCCGGGTCCGAAACTCCGCGATTCCTTGCAGCTCTGAAAGAGATGCCTATCGCTATCACAACGGAGAAGCCCAAGGAACAGCATTATGAGCTTCCCACTTCATTCTTCAAACTAGTGCTCGGCAAGCATCTCAAATACAGGTACTTCTTTCTGTCCAGGGATATGACTCGATTGATTCATATAGAAACAATCTTGTCCAGAAGTAAGAATGCCATGGCAAACTAGACCTCTTGAAGGCACTTCTTAATTTGTATTCTTGAAATCAGAAGAGAGAATCTTTGCTAAGTTATATGTACATGCAGAGCACATGGGTCTTCACTTAGAGTGATGTCCTGTGACGGAGGAACTGAGTATAAGATAAAGTTCGCCTGCAAAAGATATCCGTATCTTGCTGTCAGTCAGCTGCAAGCCTGAAACTAAGTTTTTATTATTAATTTGAGTTGATGGACAGTCCACTTCGAAGAAACCGTCCGTGTGTTCTCAGTCCTCATGGGCTGATCTTTTACATGTATGAACTAGTGCAGCTGCTGTTATTTCACCGACAAGTCGATGACCTTGGAGGATGCTGAAAAGGCAATGCTGGAACTCTACTGTGAGAGATCCCAGTTGAAAGATGGCCACACAGTTCTGGATGTGGGATGTGGATGGGGCTCACTGACTCTGTATGTAGCACAAAATTACAGTAATTGCAAGATTACGGGAATTTGCAACTCGACAACACAAAAAGCATACATCGAAGAGCAGTGCCGGTATGGGTGTTGTCTATGACACCATACATTGTTAAATGCACGTTAATTTTGGGGAATAATATAAGAGATGTAAAATGTTTTGCAACATGAACAATTTTTCGATCTGGCTATCTGCTGCACTGAGGAGAATGGACTAAAGTTGTTACTCCAATTTTCATAGGAATCTTCAGTTGCAGAATGTAGAGATCATTGTTGCTGATATCAGCACACATGAAATGGAAGCTTCATATGATCGAATATTCTCTATCGAGATGTTTGAGGTTTGTCCTTTCTCGCTGACTTTAGTGGCTGGATACATCAGATGTTAACAGTAATATTGGAGAACGTTTTAAATTTTCTTAATGCAGCATATGAAGAACTATAAGGATCTTCTCCAGAAAATTTCAAATTGGATGAAAGAGGATGGCCTTCTTTTTGTTCATCATTTCTGCCATAAAGCATTTGCATACCATTTTGAGGTACAACTGTAATTCAGTTAGATGTCTCTGTCTGAGATAAAAGATCACCATCCTCATTTTTGGATAAAGTCGAAATCCTTCATCCCATAGGAAGAGGAACTTTCACCCTTTAATTCTCTTGCAGGACGTAAATGAAGATGACTGGATTACTAGATACTTCTTCACTGGTGGTACAATGCCCTCAGCTAACCTGCTCCTTTATTTTCAGGTAATTTTTTCACATTACTATATTAGAAATTAGGCAGATTTTTTGGTTCTCTGGTCTGATAATTTCAGGTGATGTTTTCCATTTTGCAAAAAGGAGTTTCTGAGCTGAATCTCTTAGCTTTTGCGTACATTAGCCTTTGAAGAACCTGATGATGTGATACTATAGAAACTACAACTGTTCATGACAAAAGATTCTTTGTGTTTGTCCTTACTATCTGTGAGAACAAATCAACATCAAATCTTTTGAACTTGTCATTTCACCATCCTAGGGATAATCTCTCAGAAATTATAAATCACTCGGAAACTTAATCAGCCTCGAGCTAAAAGGGTTGAGGAAAACCTAGAAAGACAGAAGGAGATAATGAGAAAAGAAATAGAGCACTTAGACCTTTCAGGAGACTTGAAACAGAATAGAAAAGAAACAGCATAAAAGGAGCTATATAGATCAGGGGCTTAGTTTGCTTTTGTTTGCGAGAAACTTAATTTACTCTCCATTCTTAGTGGACATTGATATTCTCTTTGGGGCAATGTTACTTGAAGTTTTGAAGTTAATGCTGATTGGCTCTGCTGAGTTCAGTCTCTAAACACAAGGCTCTCAACCTACTGTAGACATGATACTGTCAAATGCAAATGAATTATGTGCAGGATGACGTTTCTGTTGTGAATCATTGGCTGGTCAATGGGAAGCATTATGCACAGACGAGGTAAACGAAAGACATCCATTATCATGTATGATGTATAGATGGTGTGGCTAAGAAGTTTCTGAATATTAATCAAGCTCCATTTTCCAATCCAAGCAAATTTTTTATGCTACTGGTCCCTTTCGTGCGCATTTGATTAAAAAAAATATTGCTCCGTACAGTGAAGAATGGCTCAAGAGAATGGATAAGAATTTGGCTTCAATCAAGCCCATCATGGAGGGTACTTATGGCAAGGAACTAGCTGTCAAGTGGACCGTCTACTGGAGAACATTCTTCATCTCTGTTGCGGAACTATTTGCATACAACAACGGAGATGAGTGGATGGTAGCACTTTTCCTGTTTAAGAAGAAATGAGTTTGTTTGTCTTTCCATCGTTTTGAAGGGTACGTGTTTAAGGATAGCTCGAGGCCTAAGCCAACGCGCATAATTCTGGTTCGGCAGCACATGATAACGAACTCTCTATCATTTTTTGCAAGATGAATTAGATTCGCAACCGAATAAATTGCAGGCAGATCTTGTTATTTTGCTTGATGACTATGTAGGAGGGGATTTGAAGCGGTCGAACATAGCGAATCAACCGTATTTGCGTTCTGCACATGTATGGAGTTCTTAGTTCCATGTTCTTTGTGAATCCCAGTCTCGGTGTAGGACACTATTCCGAGCAAATCCGATTGATTTCGGCCATCCGATAGTATCCGTGCAAAAACCGAGTTGTGGCCATATCCAGCAATTATCCAACCAGTAGCCATTTTGTGGTTATGGACTGCTAGTGCTATTCATTAGCAGGCTCAATGGAGTTTCGATGAGTTGAAAGATAGAACTGTCGTTGCCACCATTCACCGATCAGTGTTGAGGAGTTCACTCGTTAGTGAAACTTGAAGAGTTTCAACTTATTTAGCGGTGTTGCTTGAGAAAGGTTTTCTGTGGTCGTTCGAGAAATTGATACACTGGAAGTCTTAAAATTTATCGTCGAATCATTCTATTAATTCTGTCACTTAATGAAAAATGTTGACGTCGCTTTTTTAATACTTTATCTATCTTACGTGGCAATGACACTGTCAAATCATAAAACATAAGGCTAAAACAACATCGTTTTAATTCAAATATAATTTTTAACACAAATTACATTTAAATTAAATTTTAATTATAAGCTAAATTATAACAAATTAAAAAAAAAAAAGGAAGGAAGAGAAAACAGCATGTGCTGCAAGCCCTCGCCGCCGGCGCCCCTCGCCATTGCCAGGAAGGGCCGGTGAGGGCGGGAGATGGACGGCGGGGGGCAGCGGGAGTGGCTGCGCTTTTAAGTTGTTGGACTTAAAAAGCACGAGTGGAAAACTTTTAAGATATAATAATCCATCCAAATTGCCCCAGATTTCAACACTCACGTAATTGACCAGCGTCCCCCGCACGCACGCACGCAGGCGAAAGCTCTGCGCTTTGGCGCTTCCATGGCCGATCCCTACTACGCTTACGCTGCTCCCGCCGCAGACCGAGGTACCTCGTCTCTTCCGCCGGACTTTCGATCCCCCCGTCGACGGCCGACGAATCTCGTCGTTTCTTCGTCTCGTCTGATCAGCCCGAGCAAAAAGCTCCGGACTTTCTTACCCCAGAAAGAGAGAAAAGAACCAGAAAAGGTTCCGACTTTTCCCTCGGGAATCGATCAAAAGGCATTGCTTCGAGATGGGTCGGAGCTTTCGTTGTTTTTTTCTGGTCGCAACACTGCTCGGTATTGACGTGTGATCGCCGTAGTTTGGAGCTCCATGTCTCCGTTCGATTCGTGTGGCGTAGAATGTTGATCTGACCTCCTCGGCTGGGGTGTGTTTTATTGAGGATTTTAAGCGGTCGATTGTACGAGATAGCCCTTTTTGTTGTTTGCCCTTTTGGGTTTGGTTAGATATGCTTTGTGGGGTGGGTTCTGTTTGGTCTTGTGTGCTTCTGTTAGGGGAACATGAAACTGGCATTCTGTGGTTCTGATGGTGGTAGTATCCCACTGCACTAAATTGTTCTCTGGATAATGAATTTGAGCTAATTGGTTGCAAAAACTTGCCGGCGTAGCAGGGTTTAGGACGCAGGGTTTTGTACTGCAATGCTCTGTTCAGTTTGGTTGAGGTCGAATTGTTTCGAGCGCAAAGATTGTCTGTTGTGCCATTATTTTTCCGTTCGAAAGCAGCACGAGCATTCAGGCTATATCTTCCTCTGCATTTTAAGCTACTGCGTACCCACTTTGTTTCACCTTTATTAAAAAGAAGGAACGGTTTGCATTTTAGTCTTTAGAAGAAGATGGATAGTGCGATCATCAGATCAAGATTGTTGGTGCAAAAAGAAGAAAAGAGACTGTAGTTTTATCCTGCAAAATACACGTGTACGATCAATTAATACCGTGATTTAGATGTCTTGAAGAAATTCTTATATCCTTTTAGGAAGACTTGGGTTGAAGATTGCCTGTATGCAGTAATGACCCTGCAATACCACTGATCACTGTGGCCGAGTAAGGAAAAAATTTAATAAGCCATAATAAATCGAAACAATGCCACTTTTATCTGAATCACAACAGTATTAATTGGAATATCCGAGTATTTTTGTTTTACTAAATTGAACCTCATGTCGATCTTTTCCTTTTGTAGTCTCCACTATCAAACGCTGATCCTAACTGTTGCATCATTGATTTTTCTCTAATTATGTTATGCCAGCTACTGTTGCCAGGGCAAGTTTTCCTGGCTATTTGTCATCTGAGACGCCATCATTAGCATCTCATCATGCATTCGGCTATGAAGATCTACGCGCTTTTCCTTCAGATGCTTTGCAGAAAGATGTAATGACTTAGCTATAGTTTCATAGCTCTTACAATAAGGTTGTTGGGAGAATTGAACTCATAGGTTCTAAATTCAGGTAAATCCAGTAAGACCAGGGACATATGGCATAGATGATATTCTAGGAAGTGGGATACGTCCTGAACCTGGAACCGGACGATTAGCAGCTGGCACAAGCCTTAAGGGCTATTCAACTCCTTTAGAAGATCCAGTACTTCATCAAAGGCAAGACTTTTCAGCAGGCGAAAGGTCAAGTTCCTTGAGGAATGTTGACAGCTTGACAGCACCCACAAGAGAATCGAATATCTTGTTTGTCCATGGTCTTCCAACTGACTGTACCAGAAGAGAAGTAGGCCGTATCCTTTTGATGATTGCATGCTTTATCGAAATAGGTTACCTGTATTCCATTGCCTCAACTGAAGTTTTTACAGATGGGGCATCGGGCATCATATTGGTGCTGCGATAGTTCAGTTACATGTCCAATTAAGGATATGACTTAGTTGATCATTCAGTTTTGACATGGCTGTTGCTTATTTTTGGAGGGAGCATATATTCCCTATCCATTTTCATCGGAAACAAAAGATCTAGTCCTTCTTGCCAATGGTTGCAAAATCTCCCTGTTCAGTCATTTGTAACTTCCTGACTTAAAGCGGTAGATATGTTTCGACCATTTTATGGCTTCAAGGATATCAGAGTTATCCATAAGGAGGCCAGACGTGTAAGTGTAACTTTGCCTATTTGGTTAATATTTACTCTTTTATCATGCTTAAAATTTCCAAATGGTGGACAATGTTCGACAGCTTTAAATGGAGCCTGTATGTTAATGTTCTTTCTTCTTCTTCTTCTTTTTCATGTGTATTTACCTATAATTTTGGCATAAATCCTTGGACTATTCTTTCTTTTTTCCCCAGACTCCTTCCTTCTGCCTCCTCCTCTCCAGTTGCCCCATCACCAATCTCTGTCAACTTTCTATTCCACCGACTGTATCATGAATCTTATCATATGTGATTCTTCGAAATTTGAGAATCTCTCTCCTTCTTATTCCAGAATATTGGTTGAGTACTTGTATGACTGCTTGAAAACTAGATTAACCCAACTCATGAGGAATTTCTCCTGGATCCTTCACGGATTCACTATATATACAAGCAATTCATATTGACCAATCCTATCCTGATTTTCTGCCTAATTGGCATCCTGATCTCAACTATTTATGTTGTTATTTGGTGTTTTAGCAGTTAAAAGTTGTCGTGTCATCGGTATTTGTTGCAGAGTGGAGATCGGGCTTTGGTGTTGTGCTTTGTTGAGTTTGTGGATTCCAAATGTGCTTTCACAGCTATGGAAGCCCTTCAAGGTACAACTTGTCAATCAATTACTCACAGAATATTTGCAGTTATTTTATGACTACATTATTGAAGTCTTGGGAGAAAGAAGAAAACTGCATTTTGATCCCTGAAGCATGTCCCTTAAGTGACCGACTTTTTTAGTCAACCAATCTATTATCCTATGTTTGTTACTGCGTGCTGTATCTAGAGCCCTTTGTTAATATAACCTAACAGCTACGTTTGGTCATCAAGGATTTTTTGTGGGATAGGATATATTCGGATAAGATGAAGGTTGGATAGGATAATGATGAGATTTGTACTATCTTATGCAGTGTTCAGTAAATATTTGGATATAACGTGGATATAACACAAATTTCTCTCTTCCTCCTCCACCTTTTTGCTATCGTCATTAACTCAACATTGCTGTTGCCTTTCGCTGTGACCTGTCAAGCCGCCGTTGACATCACCTCACCTCATCAGCTATAGTTAGTTGTCATCTTGTACCAATTGTTGCCCAGTTATCCACCCATGGTGCCCAATCGGCCACCATTTCTGTCTCATCTCTAGTCCCTGAAAGTAGATCCCTGGTGCATGGAAGAGATGGGCCGCGAAGGTCTTCCATTTGTTCTGCCCTCTGAAGAGCACGGACATGTTGTACTTCCATTGATGAGTCGAAGTAGAATACAGAATTCGTGGCTTGATTTCTTTGATTCCCATGAGCACAATGCGTGATTGAGTGAGAGACTACAAAAAAGGTGGAACCTTTGCCTTGCAGATGAAGTGTGTATGTAACAGGGAGGATGCACAAGTTGTAAATGAAAAGGGATGATAAATGAAAGCCCCACCCTCACACCAGAGTTGGACAAATGCGGAGATGTTGATCGGGAAGCTCTGATTGGGGAACACGATCATTTGGCCACCAATGTGGCGGTGGTTGGAGGTGACAACAACGGCACCGTGGTCGGAGGCGATGAAGATTGGCTGTCGTGGTGGTCCTCGTGCGGTAGCCGGCATAAACCATGGACATGAGAACTCCTATCCACCATCGCCCCCCCCCAAACAAATAAGATTGGTTAATTCGGGTTATGTCCCTCTTCTATCTGGCCCTATTCTGTCTTGAACGCAATTAAACACCGGATAGGATAAAATCCTGACTTTTTCCTGGCCACCAAACGTAGTTTTATAACTGTTTTAGTCAGCTAACCTATCTTCCCGTGTTTATTACTGTATGTTGTATTTAGAGTCCTCTGATAATATAGCCTAACAAGAGCTTGTTGGATTTTTGGCAGGTTACCAGTTCGATGACAAGAAACCAGACTCCCCAGTCTTGAGGATTCAATTTGCACACTTTCCTCTCCGTCTACCCTCTGAAAAAATGATGTAGAATGGCTAGAAAGCCAGGTCTGATCTGAGCAAATGGATGTGATAGTGATCAATCTGTAATGTGTTACCCGATGACGTGTAGACTAGTGTGCATATCTCTGATTTTGCTAGCTTCACATCACTGGGCCGTTGGAGCTAAGGATAGAAGCAGGAATGAGTTTTTCCTTTTATATGACTTGACCTATACTTGATCAAACTGTTCGTGAATATCACAAAAGAGAATTTTCTGTCTGATGTTCTTGTAAAGGAAACAGAAATTTCACTGTGGTCTTGATGATTATTCAGGATGAGTGCAAGATCTTGTCAAGCTTAAGCGTGCTCCCTTTCAATCCCCACCAAGTAAATTCCTCTTAAATATAAAGACACGATAGTCATTCTTGAGGAAGGACGCATTGTTCGGATTTGTGTGGTGAGACTAGTATGGACTCGTTCACATCAGGTTGTTTCATTGGTCTTCTTTGTATGGACTTGCCAATTCTTCCAGAGGAAATTATGGCATGAGATATGCCGGTCACAATAAGGGACTGGTACATACATGCAAAAATGAAAAAATGTCATGATTCAGACCTACTTTGAAGGCGACTTAAATGAATATTGAGTGGAGTGGATGTTGCAGCACTAACATATTTGTGCCAATTCATTCTTTGCAGCGTTTGATGCTGTCATTCAAGTCAAGCACCCTAGAGAAAGTGACAGGAAGATAATAAGTCAAGGGTTCTCCAAGTCCAAGCTGTGGACTCTGAGACACCATTTAGTTATTGCTCTAATAACTACATTTCTCATGTGAAACACGAACCGAAAGCATAACCTGCAACATTAACTAGGCCTTTGTAAGATGCTATTGGCCATTTCTCGATCTCAGTACAGCCTATTCTGATTGATATTACAAAAGTGGAGGAAGAAACGAAACATTTTTCCAATTTACATTATCCTTGTCTTGCTCAAACCCGGTAATAGAATCTACAATTCAACTTCCTTTTCTTTTCTCAGTTCTATTTTCTTTGCCGAAACAGATTCATTTGATGAATACAAGATTTGAAGGCATCGTTGACCTCGCTGTTCATCTGGGAATACAGACCACAAGAGTTAAAGAGATATCTAGCAATGAACCTATTAAAACAGTTCTCACTGGCTCTGATGGAACTGACTAACGCACGAAACTGAAGCTAGAGTTCCCCTATGGACATCTTCACTATTGTAAGCTAATCCCCAACTGAAACTTAGAATGCTGGTTCATGATCACAATGACAACAGTTGAAAAACGTAAGCGTCCTTATAAACTCGCGGAGGATGATATTCAGGAGCTCCATTTGCGAAAATTAGAGATCATCAGTGAACTTGCTGCATTATGAGGAAATGACTGCGCGAAAACTAGAGATTCAACATCAGCGCTGCCTATTGCTTCTGTTAATTCCCTAAGTAATCGGCTTTTAGAAACGACTTGAAAATTTTACTCGGAAAGAATGAACTTGAAATGGTTATTATAGGGTCTGCAAATGAAAGTCGTGAAATGCAAAGCCGTTGGAGGTAAAAAAAAAACACTTGGAACGCGGAGAATTAGCCCTCGCAATGTCGCCGAGGTTTACCACATTTCATCAAGCAAACGATAGCCATAAAACCAAATGATTGAGAATTCAAAATGACTCCCCTTGGAAGACGATAAAAGAACTTTAGGATGACAAAATAGAACAGTCCGAGTTATTTCTTTCTGCGAATGACATGTATCGAGTTGAGGAAAGGAAAGAGGAAAGCAGAGCAGTGCATACTCGGTTGAAATTGTAGCCGATGCTTTAAATTCTTTTCGTTGTTAGCTTGTTATTGATTAATCAATAGATATCAGCACAGTATGTCTCCATATGCTTGAACTTAGATGCAGAAGAATACTGAATCCACAAAAAGCTGATTAGCTCAAGATACTTTCATTCGAACTAAAATTACTCCGCTCTAGCGATGAAGATTAGCTGAGCTCGGAAATGGGAACGTGAGAAGAGGAATAATGAGATGAAAAGAAAATGAGCACAATTGGCTTTAGAAAAGTAAATGCGAATGCGATGCCTCTCTTAGTTTTTCGGATAATAAGCTGAGGAAAAGCACATTTCTGGTGCGCCAGAGTCAAAGGACTTCTAGTTTCCAAGTAGCTCAGTCCCTTGTGATTCATACATAAGCAGCCATACAGCACTAGAAACTCAAATGACTTGTCAGTGCTTATACAGAGAGAAGTCGCAAGAAGTAGCATATGAGATGAAACTGACCATGATCTAGCAGTGAAGAGATGAGTTTCCCCATTCCATCAATCCAGAGTTCTTGCAAACAGAGAATATAAAATGCGATAATCTATAAGAGAAAAGCCCTGCGCAAATAAAGAATCCAACGAAGTCAAATTTCATTCGACTGTTTTTTTTTTTTCGGTAATTCAAGTGTGTAATCACGATTTGCAACATTTTCCTTCGATTCAACCTGTATAACATAGAGCTTATGAATATCATCCGCTTGTGGAAGGGGGCAAGAGCATCTCTTTTACACAGCTCCTCCAACAAATCATGATGAATAATTGTCGTGTAAGACTACAACAAAGTATGAAAGAAAGCGAATTCCAAAGAATAGCCATCTCAAAAGTTTAAAAAGAAAGAAAAGTAAAACGAAAATAAGAATAAGAACCAGCTGTGACTGTTCGTTCTACAGAAAAGCAGTCCCCGCGAGGCCGTGGTGCAAGAGGTTATGGGCAATAGAATCCCTAGCCTTCATCGAGCTCATTGATCTCAAAGCTACCTCGGGGACCATCTCATCATCTATGAGCTCAAATCCTAGTGCTGGGTTCATTTCCTCGCCTTTCATTTCACAGATATTGTGCAGAACACAGCATGCTCCAAGAACCACGGGCAAATCCTGAAGCTTCACTTCCGTTCGTTTCTGCAAGCAACTCCACCTCGCTTTCAACCTCGCAAACGCGTCTTTGGCCACCCTCTGGACCTCGCCGATTTTCTCATTAAATGCGTGTTGAGTCCATGTCAAATTTTGCTGCGTGTAAGGCACCAAAACCCAATCCAATAGCGGGTACCCCGAATTACCGACGATCCAAACGCCCTTCAATAGCCCCCCATTGGCCCTCTGGTGAAGCGCAGACTTCTCCAACACCTGTTCATCGGGCATCGAACCGGGCCAACCGATACAAACGTCAGTAAACACCCCTTTAGGGTCGACCACGCCTTGCAAAGTGATCGAATACGAGGTCTTCTGATTCCGCTCCGTGTGCCGTTTATTGAAATAAGCAGCCACGCTAATCTTAGGCGCGATAATGGGGATATGGGTCGTGTACATGGACCCAACGACATTGGGTATCCCCGAAATCGATTCATACTCATCCTTAATCTTCCTCAGCTTATCCTCATCAGGCCATTGCAAGTACTTGGGCATCAACACGGTCCTAATAGCTGAACAGACCTCAAGAACCAACTTATGACAAGTCGAAATGCCCAGACCGAACCTTTTCGAGACTAGCCGGAGCGGCTCGCCCGTGGCCAACCTCCATAAGCAGACCGCCACCCGTTGCCGGACCGGGATCGCGCTCCGCAATGTCGTGTCCTCCTTGGCGATAACCGAATTCAGCTCCTCGCAGATCATGTCGAAGGTCGATTTCCCCATCCGAAAGGCTTTCTTGAACTCCTCCTCGGGGTAGTCAGGCCTATTGCACTCATCCCACCAAGCATTCGACCTGTCCTTGACCCACAGCCTCCTCTGATGGCCGCCCCCGCTCTCCCCGCTCCCTTTCTTGACCCCCTTCTTCCCCGAATCAGCCTCGCACGCGACGGCGCCGGTGACGGCCACCGCCCCGGCCAGCGACCGCCCCTTCTTCCGCCTCGCCCGGTCCAGCTCCTCCACCTCCGTGTAGTAATCGTCGACTTTGGAGTAGTAATCCGCCATGGCCTTGGCCTTCTTCTTGTGATGGGTGTCGAACAGCTGCTTCTCCTCCCGGGAGGCCCTGTCCCGCTCTTGATCGTCCTGCTTCTCCTGCTCCTCCAGCAGCAGCAGAGAAGTGAGGATACCCTTCAGCTCCTTCTTCTTGCTACCGCCCCCATCAGCAGCAGCAGCAGCAGCAGCGCCCCCGCCCCCGCCCCCGCCCTCCTCCTCCGCCCCCCCGCCGCCCCCGCCGCCGCCCTCTCTCCTCCGGCGCCGCCTGGCCGTGGCGGTGGAGGCGGTGGTGCTGGGGGTGGTCTCGCTCATTGGGTCGGGCGGCGACCCGAAGGAGGTGTGGAGCAAGGTGAGGATGTAGGAGAAGTCTTGTGGGCCGGTGAGGGAACTGAGTTTCATAAAGAGAGATTAAGGAGGTTCAGAGGTTTTGCAACTTTTCGAAGGCGACTGATTGATGATTGTTGCTGCTGCTGCTGCTGCTGCTGCTGCTGTTCTTCTTCTTCTTCTTTGATGTTTGTGTGGGTCGAGAAGGTGGGAATTGAACTTGGAATTATAAGATGTGGGGCGTGGTTTTTCTGGGGTCCTTTTGGACATATACGAGGCGGTGGTGTGAACGGGGAGGAGGACGGTGTCGTTGTTGTTGATTGTTGGGAAGTTAACACCCGCGAACTCATGACTATATATATATATATATAATGATTTGCTCCTTACGTTGGGTTCGGATCCGGTGCGGACGGGCGCGCGGTCGCCGTGGTGGAGCCCCGCCCCCCGGGGGCGGGAAAATAGAAATGGATTTTATAAGACTTTTATATGGTACGAATTACCTTCTTCTTTTTTTTCCTTCTTCTTCTTTCCACCGGGCATTGGACGCAATGAAAATGCAGACTAAAAAGGGCAATTCCGTCTTTCTTTTTTTTTTTGGGTTCCGCGCAAGGAAAATTCAAGCATACGGCGTGATTCGTTCAGAGTTATTTCGGTCCGCCTCACGAGTCATCACGTTCCTATTTGTTTGGACGGACGGGCACGCGCGAAGACGTATCCGAAACGTTTTTCCTTTCCTGTATTTTTCGGCCAAGAGATGGATTTCTTTTATTTCCCCCCCTTTTTTTTAAACTTTAATTGAGCCCTCGATCAAAGCTGGCAAATGTAGACCCGGGGAGACGGCCAGGTCAGCGGCGGTCGTTGAGGGGCCCCCGGGGGGGGGGGGGGGTCCGCGACGTGGCGGGACGGGATTGGGTAGAGGGCGCGAGAGGTCCCGTGGGGGCGCGCGGCAGGGGATCACTTTGAGAGGCGGATAGAGGTTAGAATAGAGACAGCGGGAGGCGGAGGAGGAGGAGGAGGAGGTGTGAACGCGGTTTTGGTGTGCGGGGGGTGGGGGTGGCGGTGGTTGGTGCTGGACGGTGACTTCCTTCTCTCTCTCTCTCTCTCTCGTGTTTTCAACACACGCGGTTTTTTGGATCCCAAGAAATCCCCCCCCGCCCAAAAAAAAAATTATTAATTAAAAAAAAATAACTCCCAACGACTTTTTTTTCTTTTCATTACGAGATCTCGATCCACCTCCCCCCACCCCCCCCCCCCCCCCCCACACACACAAATATCTAAACGGTCCTGAATTTCTGGCTCAATGTGTAATGTGAATCCTGAATTCCGGCTCAACATGTAATGTGAACCCTGAACTCTCAATTTGTTCGATATAGTCCCTGAATTTTAGTCTGGTGTCCAATGCAGTACGTGGACTTTTAAACTTGTTCAATATGGTCTCTGAAACTTAATGAAAATGTTCGATATTGTCCATCTATTAATTTAAGTACAGGGATAGTATTAAACATTTTCATATTGTTTAGGGACCTCACTGAATGTGTACCGAAAGTTTATTGACCATATTGAACAAATTAAAAGTTTATAGACCACACTACACACTGTGCTAAAGTCTATGAATTATTTTGTGTCGCTATCCCTTTCGTGAACGAGGGACTCGAAACGAATCCTCGGCCCGAGCGAGAGGTCCCGAATTCAAACCCGTTCTGCACCCGGACGATGGATGCCGGGCTGCTGAACGTACGTGACGGGTGGTGTTGATTCCCGGGCGCGAGCCTGTTCTCTAATTTCTTCTCCGTTCACTTTGAAATCTCGAACGGATCGGGTTCGATTTTTAGATTTTGAATTCGGGGATAAGCTCCACACGATCGATTGGATAGCAGGGGTAGGGAGTAACTCCTCTTGGATCTCCACATGAGGGGTACTTTTCCGATGTGGGGAATGGTCCATAATTGCGCTAGGCGCAACTTGTGCAAGAAAGCTTGGACAATCTGACCTTCTCGTGGAGGCCGCAATCTTTCAATTTACAAGACAACAACCGCCGAAAAAAGGCGGGTGTGAACGTGAATCCTAATGTCCGGCGTATGTTGTTTTTTAAAGACTTCAGACGAAGACTTTGGTGCGAAAGGGAAAAATCCATAATTTAAGGGGGGGCCGCGGGGGCGGCGCTTTACGAGTGGGAGTCCTTGCCCGATGCATGTGGACGAGACGAGACGAGACGATCTGGAGTCCATATGCAGGGATTCGATCGATCGGAAAGCTCGAATGCCCCGTGTTTAGAAAACCGATTAGGTTAGAAGGCCGAATTAGATCTGGAAACCCTAACAAAGCTCGATCCTCTGACTATAATTCACGGGTGAAGTCTCGATCGATGCATGGCGGGCAAGACGGGATTTTCGCGCGGTTCGAATGATCCGTGCTTAAAAATAAAACCGGGTCATAAGTCGAATTAGATCTCGATATCCAAACGAAGCACGGAATGCTGACTTGGGAGGCCGACAAGACAAGGACTCGTGCTTCGTCATGTAAAGCCTTTCGCGGCATTGAATGTCTTCGATATTTAAAAAGAACACATGGCGAAGTCGATTTCGTAGATAGGTGTCCCCTTCAAAAAAAGGTTTTGACGATGCATGAGTGCGAAGAGAAGTGAGAGAATCTCTTTTGACTTTCTCCTCCTCGGTGTGTTCACACCTCCCTCCACTTCGCCCCCCCAAAACATTTGTCTAACACGATTCTCCATGCACGGCACACGACGATTGGCCGGAAATCGCTGGAATAGACAGTTGGCCGTCCGACCTGATACAACGGTTGAGTCAGTAATTTCCGATCAAAATTGATTGAAAAAATTATATTAATAAATGGTTAAAATATTTATGATTAAATTGATAAAATTGAAAAATTTAGATCTGATTTAACCGATGTAAAGTAAGTTTAGGACTTTTTAAACAATTTTATCTACTTTTCTACTCTTAAAAATGGGTTTTTTTTTTAATTTAAAGCTACTTAGACTGGGTTTTTTTTTTAAACACTGCGAAGCAATTAGTTTTCAGATTGGTTTTTGCTATTTTTTCCGTTTAAGATACCGATTGTTTCGACCCTTAAGCTCATTTCAATCGAAGCGTTTTGTTGAGTTATGTCGGCCAAAATCGAAGCGGACATGACCTCGATTCGTTAAGATGATTACATAAATGAATAGATTGCATCTGAAAGGAGTAGCAACTTTATTTAATATGAGCTTCTTATAGTGGAACCAAGTTAGCTTAATCTGGAATTACACAAATAAACTATTATCTATGGATTCACATTAAGGCCGACGTAGCAGCTAGATGTCGGATCTCAAGCAACGTGATGAAGTTGATACTTTCTATGAATTCCTTAATAAAAGTGATTGTCCTTAATTGCAATTAATTAAGATATTTTGAGTAGGATTAGCGTAATTAATTCAGAACTAATAATGCTTCTTGCAATTCCTACAAAAAAAAAAATTGAAAACAAAAAGATGCTGCTCGCAATTTGGACCACTCTTTCACATTGATGTAGTTTGAGGTAATTTTTTACTCTTCTTTTTTGACCTTTTTCTTTTCCCGGTAGCGTTGAGAGTTGGACTATTATTTAGCACCCGAAACCTTTCGAAACATCAAAATATTGAAACGCGACGTCTTTAAAAATTTAATATATTTTTTTGGAATTCGATATTTTTTTTTGAAAATTTCAGATAAAAAGAGAAACATGTCTTTTTAAGACAAGACATACGGACCATATACGGCGGATAAATGCGAAAAATATAATATTACAAGAATATACTCGTACGTTTCCAATGACATTACATCCGGTCAACGTCATCATATCACGCAACAAGAGAGCAAGATCGCCCGAACGAATAAACAAATGGATTAAAGTATCATTTAACCTTGATCGTGATTAGTCTTAAACGCGTATAGATGATGCCTGAACAAGATCCGCATTGTATTTCTCTAATTAATTAATTAATCGATCAAATTCTTCCTTCGATCAGGACACCATGTTACTTCCGAACCGATGCCGAGATTAAAATAAAAAAAGAAAAATTAAAAAATTTCGGGTCTTTTTCGGGCCGGGCAAGCTGGGTGCTGCTGCAAAGATTTCAACGTTTTACGCTGCTTTTTGACGTTTGAGCAGCAATGCCTGGCAAGCAGGAAAAGAGAGAAGGAATCGTGGCTTTGCTTGTGGAACGATGTTTTGGAGCAGCAGCAGCATCTAGGAAACTCAGCTGCTTGTTTAATGGGAGGGGGACTCAAGTCAAAGCTTTTTAATCATTCCTTACTCGTTCGTTATCGTTGTTAATGTTAGACATGATGCCACCCCTTGCTGTCTAGGGGCCCTACTCGGTGTATAATTTACCCCGAAATCGATCCGAACCGGTACGTGGGTGGACAAGAACGTCGCGCGTAACGCACACGAAAAGGATTAAGAAAAGATAAAAGAAAAGGAGAGGATAGGCTCACGTTTCGAGGCTCAATTCTGAGTAACACTGCGCGTTCACATTGATACGAGACACGAATTCATGCCCCCATATGTTAGCGGTAATCATTTGTATCGCTTACAGAAATGAATGAACGAGAAATATTCGCGTCGTCCACGTAAACATTTAAACATAAATTGTTGTAAAAAATGAAAATATTTTTTATTGACTAATTATTTCAAGCAATACAAGCAATCGATTTCAGGGAAATGCTTTTCAAATCATTCATCTTCCGCAAAAAATACAAACGGAGCCTCAATGCGAACCTGAACCGGAGGGTGGCCGGTAGAGGTTATTGCTCCCCGGCCACCGGCTACTCGACATCAACTTTTTGCTGTAATGTATGGAAATTTCAGTTTTTTGGGAAGAGTTAAATGCGAATTTGTCTTGAATTGAACCCAAAATAGAGCTCTTCTTTCGGAAATCTAAAGCCTCACCAACTTCCAAAGGGAGGCCTTCTAGGGTCAAATTCTTCTAGGGTCAAATTACTCCAATTCGGACCCAAGCTTCCACTCCTTTGGTTCACGTTCAAACAAGCAAAAAGAAGACAAACCCAATTTTCCAACCCTCAAGACCTCCCAAAAACAAAGATAAACTAAAAAATCCTAAGTAGTGATTGGAAGAACAAGGAGGGTCAAATTTCCAATTCTCA